CGGGGGGGGGGAGGTGGGTGGGGGCAAAAATCCACCTTTTCCCAAATTTTCTGGCACCAATTTTACCCTAAAATAAGGTAAAAAGGGGAAAAAACGGTTTTTTTCCCATTTTTTGCCACCTTTTTCTTTTTCCCTGCTCGGTGGGACTCATTTTATCTCATTTTTTCCTCATTATATCTCTTTTTTTCTCATGATATCTCATTTTTTTATCTTTTTTCCTCATTATATCCCATTTTTCCTCATTTTCCCTTATATTTTCTCTTTTTTTTTTTTACATTTTCCCCTCATTTTCCCTCCTTTTTTCTCATTTTTTTCTTTTTCCCAGTTTCTTCCTAATTCCCCCCTTTTTTTTCCTCGTTATGTCTCATTTTACGTCTTTTTTTTTTCTGGCTATATCACTTTTTTCCTCCTTTTTATCCCATTTTATCCTCATTTTTTTCCTCATGTCCCAATTTATCTCATTTTTTCTCATTTTCCCTCATTTGTTGCTCCTTTTCCTGACTTTTTTCCTCATTTCCCCCTCTTTTATCTCATTTTTTCCACATTATACCCTATTTTTTCTCATTTCTCCCCATTTCCCGTCATGTTTTTCCTCATTTTCCATCACTTTTTCCTCATCATATTGCTTTTTTTCCTCGTTTTTATCTCATTTTTCCCCACTTTCCTTTATTTTAAATATATTTTTTCTCATTTTTATCTCACTCTTCCCCGTGTTCCCTCAATCCCCAAATTCGAGATATTTTTTGGGGGAGGGGGGGACCTCGCTGGCTCCAGGGCCACTGCACAAATTATTCCCCCCCCAAGATCGACGCGTGGGAGGGGGTAAAATGCCAAAAAGTGCTTTTAGGGAGGAAAATTTCATCACAAAAAAGGCCGAATTGGGGATGATTTCCCCTCTGGGGGGCAGGGAGCGGGGCCCAGGCCTCAGGCGCGGGCCCAGGCCCAACATGGCGGCCCTGGGGGGGGGTGTCCCCCTTTCCCCCCCATAGGCCCCACGGTGGAGTTTCCCATCATGCCCCGCGACCCCCCTGCTCCGGGACTACAACTCCCATCACCCCCCGCGGCGCATGCGCGGGGGCGAGGCGGGGGGCGGGCCTTCCGCCATCTTGTGGCGGTACCTCAGCGCCGTGAGCCATTGGC